ACTGTATTCTTCCAATGCAAATATAAGGACATTTACTAAACGTATTAAATTGCTATTTAACAATTTAGAGCCTCAGTTTCCTCATTTGTTACATGGGGATAGTGATGCCTGCATCACAGGGGTTGAGACAATCATATGAGACAATGTATTGTGAGCACTTTACAAACCGTAAAACATTTTACAGAGGATAGGCATTACCAATTTTTTTATTAAGGTATTATTGATATACACTCTTATGAAGGTTTCATATGAAAAACAATGTGGTTACTACATCACCCATATTGAGTCCCCCCATACCCCATTGCAGTCACTGTCCATCAGTGTAGTAAGATGTCACAGAGACCCTACTTGTCTTCTCTGTTCTATGCTGTCTTCCTGGTGACCCCCACCAAATGATGTGTACCAATCCTAATACCCTTCAATCCCCTTCTTCCTTCCTCCCCACTCACCCTTCCCCACCACTCCCCCTTGGTAACTGCTAGTCCCTTCTTGCAGTCTGTGAGTCTGCTGCTGTTTTGTTCCTTCAGTTTTGCTTCCTTGTTATACTCCACAAGTGAGGGAAATCATTTGGTATTGTCTTCCTCTGCCTGACTTATTTCACTGAGCATAATACCCCCTAGCTCCATCATATTGTTGCAAATGGTAGGATTTGTTTCTTTCCTATGGCTGAATAGTATTCCATTGTGTATATGTACCACATCTTTATCTATTCATCTACTGATGGACACTTAGGTTGCTTCCATATCTTGGCTATTGTAAATAGTGCTGCAATAAACATAGAGGTGCATATGTCTTTTTGAATCTGAGAACTTGTTTTCTATGGGTGAATTCCTACGAGTGGAATTCCTGGGCCAAATGGTATTTCTATTTTTAGTTTTTTGAGGCACCTCCATATTACTTTCCACAATGGTTGAACTAGTTTACATTCCCACCAGCAGTGTAGGACGGTTCCCCTTTCTCTTCATCCTCGGTATTACCAATTTTTAAAAAACGATGACAGACTATATAAATGAAAGAGTATCCCAAAATTCCGTAAATGAACTTACAGTAAAGCAGTATTAGTTATATGTCTTATAGAAAAAATCCACTAAAGATAAAATTCAAGTTTTTAATGAACTTGCAAGGCACTCTCACTGAACTGAGTGTTTGAAATCTGAGTTTTGTTTCTGACATTGCCACTAATTTTGTGATGTAGCAGTTCAACCTTTGATATTTTAAAGGTCTTTTCCAGCTACAGACACCTAATACACAACTGAATTTGGGTATGTTACCCATGTCTTTGGACCTGTTTTGTTATCTGTAAAATGGGAAATGTTAACTTAATCAGACTCCTTTAATAGAACTTTACAGAAAGATGTTAAAAGAAACATTAATCCTGCACAGAAGTCGCTTGGGAGAACAGCTGCATACTCTGTCCTGCATTCCCTTCACGTAATGGAGCACATTACCATATTAAATGCTCTGGGAACTATAGAAACCAGTTTAACTTGATTTTACCCAAAGTTCCCCAAACTTATTTGGATTTGGAATAGTCTATTTGGCATCTATTTACCATCCTATGAAGCTAATTTTCTAAGACCGGTTGTTGGTACTGCCAACATGAATATTCTTAGGTATTAGACGTAGTCCAAAAAAAGGGAAAAGTACACCCTTATAAGATGTTCTCTGCTGGTCTTCACACCTGTTATGGTTTAAAATCACGTTATTTATAGTCATTGATTATAAGTCTCCAAGATAATGAGTAAAACTTTCATTACCTCTCAGATTAGTTTAACTTCAGCTTTTTTTCCCCCTTAATAAAAACATGACATCTGGCAATCAATAGCTATGGATACAAAATATCAACTCAAGCAAACACAAAAATGAGAAAAGTTCAGGATCTGTTTGAAAACATATCAAAGCAGGTCTTATTAAAATCTGCAGAATATATCTGCCAAGGTGATGATTATGTCATGCCAGTCATTAAGTAATCTGGGATAAATTAATTCCCTTAAGGCTGAACTAAAACATACAGATGTTATTTCAAAACAATCTTCTTTTATTATACTTAGCAGTTAATCATTTCAGAAATTTGGTTGTTTTTTGTGTTTTCTTTAGAGTGGGACACAAATATTATATGTTGAATTTATTACATTTCTTTTACTATTTTTTTAATTCAAGTATCATTGATATATAATCTTATGATGGTTTCACATGAACAACATCGAGGTTTCAACATTCACCCATATTATCAAGTTCTCCCCCCGCGCCCCACTGCAGTCGCTATCAGCGTAGTAAAATGCTATAGAGTCATCACTTGTCTTCTCCGTGCTGTACCGCCTTCCCCATGACCTACCTATATTGTGGGCATGGATTATAGTGCCCTTCGATCCCCTTGTCCCTCCCCACCCACCCTCCCCAGCCCCTCCCCTTTGGTGACCACTAGTCCTTTCTCGGAGTTACAGCATTTCTTTATAGACAGACTTTAAATTAAATTTGTAATTATTCAAAGCAGGCACTGATCACTTCGTTTTATTGTGAAGTATAGTATACAAAATGGAAAGTATGCCAAAAAAGAACAATGATAAAATTAACCTTTATAACCAAAGTCTAAATGGTATTTTTGAAACATTTGTTCAATGTCCTTTTAGAGGTTGAATGCTGCATGGCCAAAGGGCAAATGTGCTCCATGACCTGCAGTGCCCCTCTTGCAAATCTCACCACCCACTCAGCAAGAAGTGCTCTATGTGACTCACCCTCCTTGGAAGGCTGTTGGTTTTTGAGTAAAATCCTTGTGAGGAGATGACTATTGCAACCTCAGAAACTGGGGAAAATGCTCTTCTCAACCACACTCAGAAGTGTCCCTTAGAAGAGATCTGTTAAATATGATATTCTTCATCTCATTAGAATTCCATGTCTTGACAGCTCTCATAGATCTGGCCTACATGTTGTGCGTCTTAATCCACCTGCCTTCTCTTTGAGTGAGATATCCACAAATAAAAACTTTCTCCCATTAGACTACAGGCTGTCTTAGGAGAGGTATCATATTCTTCCTAACAGTCTATAAGGTTTCTAAGACAGGACTTTATTTTTCTCCTAAAGAAACTATTGGTTTTGCAGTAGCAACCAGCCCTACAATGAAAGCATTTCTTGAATGACTTTTGGTAGGTGATATCAAGTGCTTATGAAATAAGATTTTGGATCCTATTGGCTCAGATTCCACTTACAGTATGAAGTTTCCTATTAACTAGGGTCACATCATCTCATTCCTCTCCCTATAGGAAGGAAGAATTGTGGAAGAATTAGTCACTCATTCCTGTGTTCCTACACTTTGTACCTTTCTGTTTTAGCACTTACCACATGTTATTAAAGTTAATTATTTAATAGCTTTTATCCTCTTCAATTGGATATTCTCCTTGGAGATAATGATTTTGTTTTATTCTTCTTTGTAAGTAACCCAATACCCACAATGCCTATTGTTCTTGGGTACTTATGTCAGTTTAGTGAATGAAAAGAGAGCAGATATTTGGATGATTTGCTTTTATCTGAATCTTTGAAAGAAGATTCAATAATAAACAACACATAGTGTAGTGTTCTAACTAGGTGAATGACCAAGGCTTCTGTTTCTTTAGATCTGTAAATTACATGGTTGGATTAGATCAGGCATGATTAACTAGGGGTCAGTGGGCTCCAGGAGATTTTTGACCAACCCCATGTAGAGATAAAAACCAAAAGACCGAACACTTCATTGAGATTTTCGACACTACTTCATTACACGACTGTGACTACAATAACGTGTAGAAACCAACTACATTGTGCCTGGGGTGTCTGTCTATACACACGCATATACACTCCAGGGCTTGTTGTTTGTGCCTCTCCAGGGCCGCTTATGCCTTGGCCTCAAAAGGTAACAATATGGGGACAGGTTCTGATTAACCCTTTCAATGCAGATTGTTTAAATCCTCAGCTTCTAGCCACTACTAAACAGACTGCGGACCATTTGATAATGGGATGAATGCTTCACACATGCTGGACACCAGGGAAAAGATGCACAAATATTAGAGATGGTTCTGACTGTGGGGCGGTTGGGAATCTGACCCCGAAGACAGAAGATTATTCAACATAAAGATTCGACGGGCGGCCTGACTGACTAAAGCCGCATAAAGGGGTGCAGACAGCGGAGCAGACCAGAACACCGACTCAGAGATGGGCTTGGGCAGTGTGATGGGCGGATACAGCGGGCTGGAGAACCCAATTCGCTCCCCGCCAACCCCCCGGGGATCCGGGGCCAGGCGGGGCATCCTTCCGACACCCCGCGCCAGCCTTACCGATTCCCAGGAGGCTGAGCGGCACGAAGTCCTGACGTCCGGCCGCTTCCCGCAGCCGGTGACTCTGAAGTGGCCTTTGGGAGTAAAACTTGGTAGGAAGGAGGCGAAGGGTACAGTGGCGGAACGTCCTCGGGACCGAGTCCTGAGAGGCGAAAGGGAACGTGGCCAGAGAGACAGTGTCCCGGCCCTAGTGGGAAAAGCCCCCTCGGGGCGCCCACCTTCGGCAATCTCCGGGGGAGTTTCGGCTCTTCCCGGCACTCCCAACTCGCGCTAGCCCCCAGTCCCCGTGCCGCCCTGCTCCTTCTGGGTGTGAGCCCTTCTGCACGTGGGCCCGACCTCACGTCGTACCCGTCTCTATGGCCATTTAGTCTGTTCCCGACCCACCCCTCCAGTCCCCTCCCTTCTTCTTTATTCCCCATTCGGGGCGACGGCCGAGCTTCCTCATCTCTGGCGAGAGACCCGGCGGGCAGGGCAGGGCGCGAGCGGCCGGTCACTAGATGAGCGGTAACTCGACGGGCCGGGGATCCTCCTCCAGCCCCGCGCCTCTCTACTCTCGGGTCCCAGCCGCGCGCTCCCTCGAGCGTCCATTGGCTGCAACGGCCTTGAGCTCGGCGTAGATTCGCGCCGGCGCGAGTACGCGCCCTGTGCGTCGGCTGACTGGCTGGCGCGCACGCGCCTGAGCGGGCTCGGGGCGGGGCGAAGAGCTCGAATCCCTGCGAGACCGGTGAGGATCGGCTGACGCTCTGGCCGTCTGTCGGGGCTGCGATTCCCTGCCCACCGCCAGGTAGAGGAGGGAAGCCGGGAAAGGGGTGGTGCGGGCGGTGGGGGCTGGGGGCCGCTGGGGGCGGGCGGTGTCCGGCTCCGGGAGAGCTGGGGGAGGAGCGCGGCGGCTACGGCGGCTGCTCTAGAAGAGGAGGAGAAGGAGGCGGAGGAGCTCCTTTCCTCCTCTCAGACCCCAGAGCGTCCGGGACACCGAGCCCGGAACTGGGGAACGCGGCGACTGCGGTGGCGCCGGGTAGGTGAGGCTGAGGGTGCTGGGTGTGAGGGGGATCAAGGGGGCCACAGAGGTGCAGAGAACGGACTTGAGGGAGGGCACAGGGGGAGGGGTAGTTGTTGGGGGTTGGGGTAGTTGTTGGGGGTTGGGGTACGGAGAGGAGTGGGACTCGAGCCCTTTGGGACCTGGAGTGCCCAGATGGTGAAAGGTTTCGGGGGTCAGTGGAGCGGGCTGAAGCTCACGGGTCCGAGTTGGGGGGTTTCCAGAGACTAGGCCGGGGAAACAATGGAGTGAGGGGAGACTCTGCTGTGAGCGTGTGTGGGGTATTGGATTTTAAGAAACAAGAGATCGAAAAGAATGAAAGTAGGTTATTTGGGATGAGAATTACGATGAATTGGAAATGCGGTGGGGATGTGTAAGGTCGTCCTTAGGATTTGGGTGCATAATGGGATTTGAAAAAAGAACATTCTTAAATTTGCGGGGGTTGGGGGAGGAACGGAACAGAAAATAAGGCAAAGAGGGACAGAGAAATAAATGTGGTTTGGGCTTGGATTAAAGCAGAAAGGTAGACCCACTTAGAGAGTGTAGGGTAGGTGGACTAGAATGGCATTTTTTCCCTAATTCGTGCAGGATGCTTGGGTTATTTTAGAAGGTAGATCTTTCTCAGGCTTGCCCCTCTGCTAAGAGTACAAGCCGCTCTTTTAGTAATTTAGTTATCATTTATAGTCCATTCATTGATAAGGCATGCTTATATTTATTTCTAAATATTTAGTCAGCAGGTTACTGTACCCAATTTAGTGAACTGTGGTTAATGAAGCAGGAGAGAACAGATCACCAAAAATAGGCATCTTGCTTTGAGTTAGGTCAGTGGTAATGCAGAATTCAGGGCGTTTGAGGGAGAACTAAGAGTTTGTTTTCATTTAGACCAAAAGGTGATAAATAGCCTTGATAAAATCGAAGTTATCTATACTTTGTTAGAATTGCAGTTTCTTGCTGAGATATGTTGATGTACCAGCTGCTATTGGTTTTATGCTCATGGGAGAGAGTGGGCTCTGCTTCAGTAATTCTTGATGCTGATTTGGAATCATTAGGCTGCCTCATACCTTCCAGTTTGAATTAAGGAGATTTGAAAATATTATGGGAAAGTATTTCTGGGGTTATTGATCTTTGTATTTCCTTGATGCTTTCTCGAACAAATTTTGATTCTTTGGCTTTCTAGACCAAATTCTGAGAGGTACTAGATACAAGACTGTTGATTTTGAAATTGTTGTTACCGTATGTGTTCATGAATAGTCCAAGTTAAGCTTTTTATTTGTTGGGCATTAAGTTTTGCCAACTCATCTAAGATTTCTGGGAATTCATCAGTTTCTTATCTAGGTCTCCATAGCATTAGGCTACTTTAAGAAGGCTCAAAAATAGTGGTCTAAATTGTCACTTCTCTTATATGTTACAAAAACTGAACAAAGCAAGAAATGGGTGCAATGTCTTCATTTCTGATAATGTGGCTCTTTATTTACCCCTTACCACTGTAAGCTAGGCAAAGTGCTATGATTGTTTTGCATGCATTATCTCATTAATTTAATCCTCACAAGTATTTCATATTTTACGAATTAAGAGACTAATTTACTAAGGTCACAGAGCTAGGAAGTAAAACTGAATTCAGACTCAGCTCTTTTGGATGCCTTCTTTAAATCTTCACTGCCTGGTTTTTCTTCCTGCTAGCTCCCTTCTCCCAGTCTTGGTTATAGTACAGACAGCAGGAATTGGTTGAAACTTGGGTTTGGTATGATAACAGTGATTTAGATGAAGATTGGGTTAGTGTGCTGCATTTGTAGAGTTCATTGAATGTTTATTGCTTCTGTGATTTAGCAAATCTGGGGTCCTGATAATAGGGCTAACCCATCTTCTTGCTAAGGATAGTCCTGGGGGCACACTTAATTTTCTGTTTAATCAAGTGTGCTGCCAAAGTACCATGCATATGTGGTACTCTGTAGAAGTCAAGACAGCCAGTTGGGGGGCCAAAACCAGTTACTCTGGAAAATAATTGAAAACTGCTGAGTGCTCAAATGCTCTCCAAGCATGTGTTGAGTCCACAGTTGGTACTGGCATTATCTCTAAATATAGACAGGATCCTCTTAGAAACCTGGAGGAAAACAACTAGAACTGAGAAACAGCTGGGGCCTGAGGGAGGAGCCATAGGTTACTGGCCAAAAACATCAGCATAGCCCCAGAAGGCTGATCCAGGAGTAGCAAAGGACTACAGATACTAGTGAATGGTGGGGAGGGCAGGGAATTTTTATTTTTAGAGCATGTATGCATTCTACACACTGAAATCAGTGTGTTTTATATGTATTACTTCATAAGATCTTCAAATCCATAGAAGGTAGTTGTAAGCATTATCTCCATTTTTCAGATGAGGCTCAGAAAAGTTAAGTAACTTGATAATGACGGTGAAGGAAATTTGTATTTATTATTATTTTGCTGCTTACAGTTTCCCATTATAGAGCCACAATATTAAAGTTAGGAACTTAAAGTCACTCTTTAAGATCTGTACTTCTTTGTTAGAAGTAAAACATTATTTCAGTCTTGCTGCTTCCACTGAAAATTGGAAGGAAAGGCTTGGTTTTTTTTTTTTTTTTTTTGGTTTAGTTATTTGGAAGGGGAGCCCATTCATTATTTAGCAAATGACCTGTAGGATATAATTTGGTTTCCTCGGTTGCTTATTGTATGTCTGTGGCAACATGAAAATGGCATGTCCATCTCTCCTCAGAAGGTTTTGACTTTCAAGTTAAGTCATGTAGGCTCTGAAGGATGACAGTGAAGCATGCCTTTTATAGACTTTTGCCACTTTTCTTGATATGAGTTTGCCATAAAGGTTTGATCATCATTCTTACTTGGTTACTTTAAAAAAAATTGTGGCAAAATACACATAACGTGAAATTTACCACTTTAAACCATTTTTAAGGGTACAGTTCAGTGACATTAAGTACATTCACACTGCTGTGTGACATCACCACTATCCATCTCCAGAACATTTTACCTTCCCAAACTGAAGCTCTGTACCTATTAAGCAATAACTCCCCATCCCTCTGTTCACCCAGCCCCTGGCAACCACCATTCCACTTTCTGTCTCTGAACCTGACTACCTAGGTACCTTGTATAAATAGAATCATAGTATATGTCCACTTGTGTCTGGCATACACACAATACCTTCAAGTTTCATTAGTGTTTTAGCCTGTGTAAGAATTCCACTTCTTTTTAGGACTGAATAATATTCCATTGTATGTATATGCCAAATTTTGTTTATCCACTCAGGTGTTGATAGACATTTGGATGGTTTTCACCTGTTTGTTTTGTGAATAGCGCTGCTGTGAACATTGGTGTACAAATTTCTGTTCAAGTTCTTGCTTTCAGTTCTTTTGGGTACATATCCAGAAGGGGGATTACTGGGTCACACGTTAATTCTATGTTTAATTTTTTGATGAAGATTGATTACTTTTAAGTGTTGGTTTTGTTAGGAGTTTACTTGAACTTGGCCTTATGTTTGAGGGATAATGGTTCCTCTACTTTTTCTTTTCTGTTTGCAGGATAGTTGAGCTGGTAATGATTCAGAAGGAAATGATTTTACCCAGTTTTCATGGCTGTCTCTTAGCTTCTGCCTATTTATATTTATGTATCATGACATGTGACAAGCACATTAAAATACATTTCAACTTAGTAATAAAAGTACTTTAGAAAGTCTTTTAGACAGTTCAGCTGATGAAGAAAATGGGCTTCTGTTCTAAAGTGTGAAATGTGTCCAATGTGTCAGGAACCATTTGTTTTTTTACATATTTTTTTCCAGTTACACCTATGAATTTGTATAATCATCTTAAAAACATTATCTGTATATGTATTTGAAAAATGTGTCAATGCCATGAAATATTTTCAGTTCACTTAGCTACCTTTGATTGAAATTGAGGGTACTTTTTCTGTTTGAAAATGTTTTATATGTATGAGCTCTAGTTACTGCTTACCTTCTGTATCCCTCTTCATTCACTGAAAAACGTTTGAATGCTTGCTATATGTGTTAAGTATTTCAAGAAGGTATTTGTAATACAGGAAGTAAAATGGGCTATCAGTATTAAAAAAGATCACAGATCTGGTGCATAAATCTGGCTTTGAATCTCTACTCCTCTATGTACTCCTTCTGTGGACTTGGTCAGGTCATTTAGTTTCTCTGAGCCTGTGTTTCCTAATCTGCAAATTTGGTGTGCAGTAGTAATCCCCACCACATCTCATGCTGAATTTTTTTTTGAGACTAAATTCACATAATATAAAACTAACAATTTTAATGTATACAATGTAGAGGTATTTAGTACATACACAGTGTTGTACAACCATCACTCTGTGTAGTTCCAGAACTTTTGCATCCCCCAAAGACCTGGGACCCATTAGACAGTCACTCCTCATGCTCCCCTCCTCCATCTCTTGGTAACTGCTAATCTGCATTCTGTCTTTACAAATTTACCTATTCTGGATATTTCAGATAAATGAGACCAGATAATATGCGACCTTTTCTGTCTGGTTTCTTTCACTTAGCATAATGTTTTTTAGGGTCTTCCCTGTTCTAGCATGTATGAATACTTCTGTTCTTTTATAGCTGAATATTCTATTGTATGGGTATAATCATCTTTTGTTTATCTATTTATCTGTTGACGGATGGTTGTGTCATTTCCACCTTTTGGCTTTTGTGAGTAATGCTACTGTGAACATTCATATACCAGTATTTGTTGAATAGAATACCTGTT